TGTAGTTGTAACACCCCTGTTCAAGAAGATAATCCGCAAGGAGTGTGGTCGAATTATCGCGTCATTACGTTATTGAGCCTTCCAGAGAAAGTGTACGAAAAGCTACTAGAAACGAGGTGCCGCGGAATAACGGACTTCGAGATACAAGAAGATTAGTGTGTCTTCCATGCCCGGTCGAAGCACTTCTTACCATGTATTTTTCCTACGCCAGATTGTTGAGAAATCGTGAAAGTTCGACCATCCAGTGTACATGCACTTTGCTGACCTAGGAAAAGCCTATGACCGGATCCCGCGCAACAGTCTGTGGCCGTCCTGCGAACATATTGCCTCGATGGCCAGTAGTTGCGGGCCATCCAATCACTATATGTTGATAGCAGGTACCCTCTCAGAGTAAATGACGTTAAGTCGAAAACTTCCAGTGTTAACGATGAATGTGTAGGCGTAGGAGATTTTGAAGCGAGAAGATTGTTGTTTGCAAACGACCTTGTTTTGTTGGCATCTTCTGAAACTGATTTATAGCGCTCTCAAGGTTCGCAGCCGAGTGCGACGTTGCAGTCGTGCGTGTGACCGTATCTACAGCGAAAGTTCTACATTTTGCTCTTTCTCTAGCCGGTTGCATTCTTCAGATTAACGGAGAGGCAGTGGAGCAGGTGGAGAAGTTCACATTTCCCGGGATCGTGTTTACTGGTGATGGAAAATGGAAGGAAAAGATCGACCGGCGAATCGGAATTTCAATCGGCGGTCTGCGTGAACTTGCCGTAACCGTTGTTATTAAAGCGGAGGTGAGTTTGAAGACTAAGCTCTCTGTTCAAGTGTTCATCTTAATCCCTATGATCACCTACAGTCATTAGCAGTGGGCCATGACTTCGATCCAGGGTAAAAGTAGCTGAAATGGACTTTGTGAGACGAATCGCTGACCTCCCGCCTGTCAACATGGCTCAGAGTTCAGAAATCAGCGAGGGCTTTGGTGCATTGTCGCTGCTTCTTCAGACTGAGAGGTCACAACTGCGATGGTGCGAGACGTTTTACGACTGCTTCCAGAAAGGAAGATAAAACAGCTGCTAGTTGCCCAACCGACTGGTCAGAGGGATGGCCAAGATTAACTTGGGGTACATTTATTAAAGGACTCTGCTCTAGACTCCGGTTGTCTTCTACCGGTACAGAATTGGGAATGTTAGAAACACTCTCTAATGAGTCTGTCGTCGGATCCCGAAAGTACAAGCGGTCATGTGCGGGCTATATGATAAGGCGCTTGCGATATATTAGGCTGCTTTCTCATATAATCTTTTGAGAAAATCAAAGGTTTTTAGAAAGAAGAGACAAACACCATCTTGTAAACAAATGATCACAAGTCTTTACACGTTGTTTTCAGCCAATCTTGACTCTCTGTACCAGTTTAACTATACTTCCAGGTCACTTGAGCATTTACAATCAGTAGTTGAACTCGCCACTGGCATTGCTAATTAGATACACAGGTGAAACAGATTTAATCACCTGTGTTCACGGCGATAATACAGATGATTGTGTAACTGTTGTTGAAATTCACATGTGCACTGAAGGCACGGTAGCACATTGAAATTGTCTTTTAATGCCAGAGGTGCTGTGTTCGTTCCGTAGGAAGAATAACCTTTCTCTTAACCGCGAATTCCCTTGATCAGTGACTTCATCACACGGTTGATTCAGTGCAACCAGCATAGAAATGGGTAGCAGTTACCGACTTGCGACGCAGAGGCAGCATAATGCACCTGGTGGCGATCATCTCATAATGAGTGATAAGTATGGTCATAATGTGATGTGAACACCTCATGGGGCTGCAGTTCGCCTTAAACCGCCTGAGAGCTGACTTTTCTATGTGATAAGGTGAAACCTGTTGCAACTTTGATTTCAAAAAAATGAAGTATTACGGGAAACAGTAATTTCGCAAAGGATATTTATAAAACGGAGCAATTGTTCTGTATTATTTTTCACTGAAAAATTTGCCAATCATCCTGAACGAATCGCCACTGCGCAAGTTGATGTTGTTCCTTATCCAGACTTAGATAGCAGCTGTCATTTATCGAACATATCCAGGTGATCATACGCAGTAACGTAAACTGTAGCTGCACCTAGTTCGTTTATCTGAAAGTGCTGTCTGGTTTGCGGTGTGCCACATTGAAGTTTCTGCCGGACATGGGCCAACTTGACCTTACCTGGTACGGCCTTTCGTCAATTCTTTGTTCGGCTATGCTACGACGTTACGCAGGAACGCCATTATAGGAGCATGAATCTGCTGGACGAAAGAAAAACGTCACAGTGATTTCAGCAGCTGAAAGTGCTTCACCCGTCAGTGGCTTTGCATTGAATCTGCTGGTTATCGCTGATCAGTGCCACTCACTGTCAGTGGTCGTACAGTTACTCTTCAGCACCATTTTGGTTTTAATAGGGCACAGCGAAACAAATCGTTCTTCTTTTGCTGTGGCAACGCAATGACAAATGTCTTACAATTGCATTGCCTGTATTTGTTTCCTTTCCTACTTCCTTATTGTGAACCTTCCAAACTGGTCCCTTGCTTTTGCTAAGAAAGCAATGCTTGAATCAGAAAATCGAACCTCTGTTAAATGATCACTGCAGTGACGCAAGTACATAATTCTACGCCGCGTTCACGGTGCCTCAGTATGATCGAACATGGTCTGTCTCCCCTTAAAACTGGTTGCAGCAATGAACACTTGAATTAGCTCTGCAATTTCAAAACAAGAATTGCGCACAATAACGTATAGCGTGATTCACTGGTTTGCACACTAAATGAAAATATTCGAAAAGTTCACGTTTTTCCGTTTCACACGATTTGTGCCAAGGAAAGTAAAGAACCACTTAAGCAAAGCCATAAACAAATAGCTTGTTGATTTGTAACTGGAGGCGCCACTTCACCAAAAAAAATTTATTGAAAAGTACTTTTGCTGTGAAACTGTGAACCCTGCTGTACTCCATTCTGAAAGAACGACATAGTAAAAGTTGATCTGGCAAATCAAGAACAGTAAATGACAGTAGCAAATATTATTCAAGCAAAGGGGAACATTCAAGACTGAGAACATGGCTCGAAATAATAATGTATTACGCTGTGTATGAACATACGTCAATGATGTTTAAAAAATATATAGTGACGGCATAATTGAGTTATCTGTCTAAAACAGATACTTCTTTAACTTCATCCAGCTTAATCGTTGTGGCTTGATGGCCATTAAAAACTGTTAACCCAACGTCAACACCAAATTACTTGAAGAAGTCTTCAGATCAGAAAGACCTAATGTAGTGAAAAGTTTATAGTAAACATCTTACCCGGTTTACTTGGCATCAAACAATGCCTTGGCGACTGAATGAACACTAAGGTGATTGAACGTAAGAACGGGAAAATTGGATAATTGGACATTAATTATGCAAAAGTAATCAGGCAATGACACATATGCTGACACCTTTACGAAGTCCTCAAATAGTATACTCTGACCGAAATTCCAAATGGAAGACAATACTATCTGCATAGGACTTACCACTTGAACATGAAATATCTTGCCTTTCCTGCACCCAATGGGAAAAGTGAATTGAATCATGTGCACTGATAATGCGTGAAGATAATGACTGAAATGACAAATGTTCCGTTAATTTGAATGACGACAGCAATAGGATGATGGAAGGTCTGGGCGATTTATAGAATTTTCCATGTTCTCACAATACATATGACCGTTAAAGTGGTTATTTGTCTGTTCATGTTCTGGTATCACCCATCAAACATCCGTAACATCCACCTATACTGCTCATGAATTGCCAGTTTGTTCGTAAAGGGCAAATGATATGATGAAAAGAATTCACTATGTTTTTGTAGTGGATAGACAGAGATGGTAGTCCTAAATTCCTTCGTTTGGGTCTCTAGTCAAAGTGTCATTCTCCAACAGATTTTGATGAAACACACGAAGATGTCTGTAAAACACATGATTTGCCATTTCATCATTACCCAATCGTTTCCGGGTTCAGCACAGTCTTCATGGTTAAAGAAAAATATTTCTGCCGTATTTCGTGATGGTCGCCATCCGTTATGCTGGTTGTTCTCGCTCTTCATCCCGAAACACAGAGGAACGGGTTTGTGAGGAGGTCACCATACTGTCAATCGCTAGTTAAGTTATAAAAAGATGACGCCGATTTGAGTAAAATACGTTGAGTTGAGCCACCAACGAATCCTCAGACCAACTTTATATGCGTCTTAGAAAAGCAATCAAAAATTATATTAAGACCAACGTTAAGTTGCATTTGTGAAGATTGCGCAGCGAAATACCGTTTATCATCTCAGTCAATTTCTGGAGGTGAGGCTAACTGATGCCGACTTAAAAATTCTGTGAAATTCTACGCAGCTTTCGAATATGACCAGAAACGACTGGATAAATGCTTCAATGTTGAGTGAATATGGTAAATTGGCAAAACAGTTGCAGACAATACTGCGACGTTCGTCCTTTACTCGAAGGCGTTTGCTGACCACCAGGAGTTGTCGAATGTCACCGATGCGCTTGTGACAAAAGAATGACTCGCTTCGTGTCAGCCAACGACCTCATACAGCAGTTTTCCAGTCCAGGATGCGCAGCGATGGCTGACTAAAAC